AGGAAGGAAGGAAGGAAGGAAGGAAGGAAAAAGAAAGAAGGAAAGAAAAAAGAAAGAAGGAAGGAAGGAAGAAAGAAAGGGAGGGAGGAAGGAAAGAAAGAAAGAAAGAAAGAAAGAAAGAAAGAAAGAAAGAAACTTTAACTTTTATCAAGCAAGTCAACCACACTGACTCTCAAAGCTCACCTTGAGAAAAAGAAGTGATAAAATGATGGGCCAAAACACTTTTGAAAGAAGAAAGAATAATTATGCACTGATAAGTTACATATAAGGGAGGACCCCTAAAAAACCGGAATTATTTTTTAAAGGATAGGCCCCTTGTAGTACAGGATTCCCCGGCTAGGTAAATAAATGTTCTAGGAACCCATGGCATCAGTGTACCAGTTAGCATTGTTGTGAGAGGCTGCATCTGGTTTCAGTGCATTTTTCTGAGATTCTTTCAATGCATTTACCCATTTCATGATGGATAATTTACAAGCACACTGACCCACACTATGCTGAGTGTTCAGCAGTTTTGGACCAAAAACAGATGACCCCCTCGCTCTACTCTTTCTTGTTGTTTCCCTGAATGAAAAACATCCTCAAAGGGAAACATTCTGTGATGTGGAAGAGGTAAAACAATAAATGGCAGAAGCACTAAATTGACGAGTTCAAAAACTGTTTTGAGCAGTGGAAAAAGCATCTCGATAGGTGTATTGCATTAAACAGAGTACTTTGAAGGTGACTGAAGTTTAAAAATGTAAGAATAAATATACATTTTTAAATAAATAAACTCCAGTTTTGGGAGGTTTACCCCTTGTATTTTTCTTAATTGTTCTGACTTGTGAAATATTTGTCTGGAGCTAAGAGAAGTATGAGGTAAGATTGCCTGTAAGGTCATGTGTGTGGTAACTGCCACTGAGCTCTATCTTTTGACATTTATTGTAAGACCAAAATAAAAGGGTTTCACCATGAAAATAAATGAACTCAAGTTGCTTTAGTTTCTCTTGCCTGTATGACCAGCATTACCCCATTCTTCTGGTGTTTGATGATTTCCATACCTACACTACTAAATATTCTTTGGGCTAGCAGTTACCATGGTAACACCTAAATTTACTCCCAACATACTTAACATACAAAATGCAAAGTTTTTTTCTCCACATGTGCAACTCTATGGAGGAGTCTAGGCTTTTAGTCAAGTCATGCACTAAAGACTAAGAAATATCCTCCCCTCTCACATTTGTTATGCTTTGGTCACTGAGACTGTAACAGTTGGTGAGAATGTAGTTTTTCTCACTTAATAAAAAGTATAAGCTTTGAGACCCGATTTTAGCTCACACCTCTGGCTGATGGTATGATATATTTTTGTTGTGATTTAATTTCCTCTTCAGATAAAATATAAATTATGACTTCTATTTTCTTTTTTAAATTTTATTTGAATTGGAGTCTCACTGTTGCCCAGGTTGGAGTGCAATGGCATGCTCACGGCCACTGCAGACTCCACCTGCTGGGCTCAGGTCATCCTTCTGCCTCAGTCTTCCAAGTAGCTAGAACTACAGGTGTGTGCCACCATGCCCGGCTAATTTCTTGATTTATTACAAAGAGTAGATCTTGCCAAGTTGCCCAGGCTGGTCTGGAAACCCTGGACTCAGACAATCCTCTTGCCTCCGCCTCCCAAAATGCTGGAATTACAGGTGTGAGCCACTGCATCCAGCGATTTCTATTTTTACTATTTTGTTTTCTCTACTATAAAATGTCATTTTTCCTGATTCTCTTTCCTCCCTACACACAAAAATGTCTCTAAAACCATTCCTAGAAAATGCATATTGTGAAAAACCTATGTATGCATTTCAAAAATTGTGCATCAAAATAAAATACCGTGTTCTCACTCATAAGTGGGCCCTGAACATTAATCATACTATAAGAAAGGGAATGACAGTAGAGGGATACAGCCGGTGGGGGTGGGGTGGGACATAACATCAATAAGTGTACCTGATCTCAAATCAGGGAAAGTGGGGACCAAAGGGAGGCCCAAACTCTACCTGTACAATGACCACTTATCTACCTAATCCTGAACTGTACTCCACATCTTTAAAATTAAAAAAATCAAAAACACAGTATCTGTGAAGCACAATAAAATGAAGTGCAATAAACAAAAATAAAATAAAATAAAACTGTTGCCGGGCGCGGTGGCTTAGCCTGTAATCTCAGCACTTTGGGAGGCCAAGATGAGAGGATAGCCTGAGCCTGAGGGTTCGAGACCAGTCTGGTCAACTTGGTGAGACCTCGTCTCTATAATAAATCACAAAATCTAGCCGGGTGTGGTGGTGTGCGTCTGCAGTTCCAGATAGTTGGAAGGCTGAGGCGGAAGGAATACCTAAGCCCAACAGGTCAAGGCTGCGGTGGCTGTGGGCATGCCACTGCACTCCAGCCTGGGCGACGAGAGTGAGACTCCAACTAAAAAAATAATAAAATAAAATAAAATTGTACTGACTTTTTATAACATGTCTGAACAGGATCAAGCTTGAAGCACTAAAAGCTACACGAATTCTGCTAAAATTGAAGTAAAAACAAACATCAAATTTATGGTAACTTTTGGCTGGAAAAATGGTGAAATAATTGAAGCTTTATGAAAAGCTATGGAGACAATGCTCCAAAGAAATCAGCAGTTTACAAAAAGATAACTCCTTTTAAGAAGGAATGAGATAATATTGAAGATGACGCCCACAGCAGCAGATTATTCACATTAATTTGCAAGGAAAAAATCAGTCTTGTTCCTGCCTTCATTGAATAGTACTGATGATTAACAACAGAAACAATAGCCAACATCATATACATCTCTTGGTTCAACTTACACAATTCTGACCAAAAAATTAAAGTTGAGAAGACTATGCGACAGAACTTTTGCATCCAGATCAGCTGCAGACAAGAACTGAGCTTTCAATGGAAATGGAAACAAATGGGATCAAGATCCTGAAGCATTTATTTGAAGAACTGTAACAAGAGATCGAACATGGCTTTATCCATATAATCCTGAAGACAAAGCACAATTAACACAATGACTACCAAAAGGTGGAAGTGGTCCAGTAAAAACAAAGGCAAACTGGTCAAGAGCACAAGTCAAGGAAACAGTTTCTTGGGATGCTCAAGGCAATTTGCTTGTCAGCTTTCTGGAAGATCAAAGAACAATAACATATGTTTATTATGAGAGTGTTTTGAGAAAGTTATCTGAAGTTTTTTTGTTGTTGCTGTTTTTTGTTTTGTTTTGTTTGAATTGGAATCTCGCTCTGTCGCCCAGACTGGAGTGCAGTGGCCGCTCCCCACCACCACAGCCTCGACCTGCTGGGCTCTGGCGATCCTTCTGCCTCAGCCTTCCGAGTAGCCGGAATTATAGGCGCACGCTACCACGCCTGGCTAATTTTTTATTTATGGTACAGATGAAGTCTCGCCAAGTTGCCCGGGCGGGTCTCGAACCCGCGTGCGCAGGCAATCCACTCATCTCAGCCTCCCAAAGGCGCGGGATTACAGGCTGAGCCACCGAGCCCAGCGTTATCTGAAGTTTTAACAGAAAAATGCCCAGGAAAGCTTCAACAGATAATCCTCTACCACAACATGCTCCTGTACGTTCCTCTTATCAAATAGGACCAATTTTGCCAACATTATTATGGAATATCATTCAGCATTTACCTTACAGTCCTTATTTGGCTTTTTGTTTTCTAATATTTTTTAAAAATCTAAGGCCGGGCTTGGTGGCTCATGTCTGTAACCCCAGCACATTGGGAGGCAGAAGTGAGAGGATTGCCTGAGCCCAGGGATTCCAGATCAGTCTGGGCAACTTGGCAAAGACCTTGTCTCTAAAATAAGTCCAAAAATTAGCCAGGCATGGTGGTGCACACCTGTAGTTTCAGGTACTTGGAAGACTGAGGTGGAAGGATCACCTGAGTTCAGCAGGTTGAGGCTGCGGTGGCTGTGAGTGTGCCACTGCACTCCAGTCTGGACAACAGAGGGAGACTCCAACTCAAAAAAAGAATATCTTCAAAGAGCACCCATTTTTCTCCATTTAATAGTAAAAGAGACCACATGGGCATCGTTAAATTCCCAGGACTCTCCATCTTTTAGGGGTGGACTAAATGGCTGGTATTGTAAAACACATTGTTTAAAAAGTATCTTAATAGTGTTGCAATAAACATGTGTGTGCAGGTATCTTTTTTGTAGAATGATTTGAGTTCCCTGGGTACTCACAACAACAAAAACGTGGAAACAACTGTGATGCCCATTGAAACTGGACTGGATAAAAAATGTTCATATACACAATGGAATATTATGAAGCCATAAAGAAGGGAAGCATATGGACTTGGGTGGATTTAGAGTCTATAATACTCAGTGATCTATCACAGAAACAAAGAACAGAGTACCATATGTTCTCACTCATAAGTGGACCCTGAACAGTTACCAACCTACTATAAGAAAGGGATTGGCAGTAGCAGGATACTGCCGGGGTAGGGATGGGGACACAGCATCAATAAGGGTTCCTGATCTCAAACCAGGCAAAGAGGGAACCAAAGGAGGCTTAAACTTACCCGTATGAGATCTACTTGCATACCTAATCCTGAATTGTACCCCATATCTTTAAAATAAAATATATTAAAAAAAGAAAATGTTCAAAAATTGTGGTCAAAGTTGTATAACTGTGAGTACACTAAAAAGCATTGGATTGTACACATTACATGGGTTAATTGTATGGCATATGCGTTGTGGTTGAATAAAGTTATTAACAAAAAAAATTTAAAATGTCCCCAATTTTTTAAAAAAGTGTTTCGGTCTTGAAGCAGCTTATGTTAAGAAATAAAGTTTACTTTTTAAATTTTAATTCCATTTTTCTGAACTTTTAAAAGTCCCCGTGTGTGTGTGTGTCTGTGTATGTAGTATAACTGGTTCTGTATCTCTGGAGAACCCTGATCAATACAACTATGGAAGAGGCAGCGGCGGGAGCGGCGCACGACCGAGACGCTGCTTCTTGAGTGGAGCCCAAGATGACCGGTTCTAACGAGTTCAAGCTGAACCAGCCGCCCAAAGATGGCATCTCCTCGGTCAAGTTCAGCCCCAACACCTCCCAGTTCCTGCTGCTCTCCTCCTGGGACACGTCTGTGCGCCTCTACGATGTGCCAGCCAACTCCATGCGGCTCAAGTACCAGCACACCGGACGGTCCTGGACTGCACGTTCTACATTCCAGCGCATGCTTGGAGTGGAGGATTAGATCATCAGTTGAAAATGCATGATTTGAACACCGATCAAGAAAATCTTGTTGGAATTCATGATGCTCCTATCAGATGTGTTGAATCCTTTCCGGAAGTGAATGTGATGGTTACTGGAAGTTGGGATCAAACAGTTAAATTGTGGGATCCCAGAACTCCTTGTAATGCTGGAACCTTCTCTCAGCTTGAAAAGGCGTACACTCTCTCGGTCTTGGTGTCCGGAGACCGACTGATAGTGGGAACAGCAGGCCGCAAGGTGTTCGTGTGGGACCTATGGAACATGAGCTACTTGCAGCAGCGCAGGGAGTCCAGCCTGTACCAGACTCGCTGCAGTTGAGCTTTTCCTAACAAGCAGGGCTATGTATTAAGCTCCATTGAAGGCCGAGTGGCAGTTGAATACTTGGATCCAAGTCCTGAGGTACAGAAGAAGAAGTATGCCTTCAAATGTCACAGGCTAAAAGAAAATAATATTGAGCAGATTTACCCAGTCAATGCTATTTCCTTTCACAATATCCACGATACATTTGCCACAGGTGGTTCTGATGGATTTGTAAATATTTGGGATCCATTTAACGAAAAGCGACTGTGCCAATTCCATCGGTACCCCACCAGCATCGCATCACTTGCCTTCAGTAATGATGGGACTACACTTGCAATAGCATCATCATATATGTATGAAACGGATGACACAGAACATCCTGAAGATGGTATCTACATTCGCCAAGTGACAGATGCAGAAACAAAACCCAAGTCACCATGTACTTGACAAGATTTCATTTACTTAAGTGCCATGTTGATGATGATAAAACAATTTGTACTCCCCAATGGTGGATTATTACTATTAACAAAGAAACCAGGGAAAAATATTAAGTTTACTATTATAAGAACCTAAAAATAATGGAAATGAGGTTTTTATTGATTTTTTTAAAACAATAAACACTTAAGTGCTTGAGATGGTTTGCTGCGTTAAAGGTATTTGGACAAAGAAAATTGGAGGGCAGTGTCTGTGCTGTTGAGAATCAGTTTTGACCTTGATGATTTTTGTTTCCACTGTGGAAATAAATGTGTGTAAATAAATATAAGTAATAAACATCCCTTTGCTTTCTTTCTGGACCTTAAATGGTAGTGGAAAAGGCTCTGAGCCATTTGCTTCTTTTGTTGGTTATAGTTGCTAATTCTAAAACTGTTTCAGACTGCCTCATGAGGAGGTTAATCTACAATTAAACAATATTTCCTCTTGGCCATCCATTATTTTCTGAAGCAGATGGTTCATCATTTCCTGGGCTGTTAAACAAAGCAAGGTTAAGGTTAGACTCTTGGGAATCAGCTAGTTTTCAATCTTATTAGGGTGCAGAAGGAAAACTAATAAGAAAATCTCCTAATATCATTTTGTGACTGTAAACAATTATTTATTAGCAACCAGGTGATCCCAGAAGGGCAAATTGTTTGAGTCAATAATGAACTGAGAAAAGACAGCGTATATCTGTGTATTTGGAAAAATAATTGTAACGTAATTCCAGTACATTTAGACAGGCATCTATTTGGACCTGTTTCTCTCTCTAAATTAATTTTTGGAAATATTAATGAGGTTTGCATATTTCTCTGACATTTATGTAGTTCTCATGTCCATTTCAGTTGCCCAGCCGCTGGTGATTAAGTTTAAAAAGAAAAAAAAATTATAGTAAGAATGAGATTCATTTCAGTGTAATACACTAAAGCAGAACACAAACTTAACTTGGCCTACTCTAGGTACTTCCAAATGGTATTTTTTTATCAAACTTTTTATTCACATTTATATTATTGCAAATATATGTCTCTGAATAGTACTTGAACTTTTTCTGAATTTTTTTAAAATCCATGATGTGTATTTTTAAAAAAGTCTTTGATACAGAGAAGCAAGGGTCTTTTTTATTTTTTAAGTATTTCAGTGAAAATTTGGTAGAAGTCTGAACCTATCTTTTGAAATGTATTTTCTTCATTGCAGGTCCAACTAATCATCTCGTGAAAGTGGTTTCTCTATGGAAAACTTTGTTTGCTTCCTACAAATACATGCTTTATCCCTTAAGGGATGTGTTATAGTTGTTGTGGACACATTATTTAGTATGTGGATTTCTCTATTTTCGATCTTATAAGAAACTTGTCTTTGTACCTTAATACTTTATTTAGGATCAGGAGTTTTTATGTCTTTGTGTAGTAGTCTGAATTTCCCTGTCAAGCCTGTGGCAAACCTAGTTGCTTATGAGCAGTTTGAGCTCTTTTTGTAATATAAGCTAAACCTGTTATTTCTGTGCTGTCTAATAAATCGAATTCAGAACCCTAAAAAAAACATACAACTATGAATGCTTATAGTTAAGATAAGGCTGTCTTTACCCGAAGTTCAGAAATTAGGGTGAGAAATTGGGAGTTGATTACATAATACCTCTTAAAATAATTTTAGATGAAATGTTCTGATAACAGCCTGCTATGTAATAAATTGTGAAATTTTTCAAAGAGTAATCAAATTACATTTCCACATAGAAATTATGTATGTCACTCACAGGAGATCAATAAGAAATTGAAACAAATTCAGGCATACAAATCAGGAGTGAACTGTTACAGACAATTGTCTAATTTTCTCTTAATCTCTCTTCTTTTATTGAGAATGTTGGCTTAAGATACAAAAATAGAATCATTCTTTAGTATTTAAAACAATTTCTTTGAAAACAAACGGTGGAAAAGACAACTGGCATGATCAATTGTAGACATATTTGACACCCACCCACCCTCCCCAAATTTTAGACATTTTTTTTAGCATCCAAAATGTATGCAGATGGAAGGTGTAAATACATTTACGCATAGTCTAGGTAAATTGTCAATTAGATTCTTAATGGGTGGAAATTGGGGATACCAGAATATCATTTTTTGTGAGAATAAAATTACAGACAAAACTAGCCAAGCGCAGTGGCTCAAGCCTGTAATCCCAGCACTTTGGGAGGCTGAGGAGAGAAGATTGCCTGAGCCCACAAGTTCGACACCAGCCTGGGCAACTTGGTGAGACCTCATCTCTACAATAATAAAAAAAAAAATTAGCTGGGCGTGGTGGTGCACGCCTGTAGTCCCAGTTACTTGGAAGGCTGAAATGGAAGGATCACCAGAGCCCAGCAGATTGAGGTTGCAGTGGCCATCACGTGCCACTGCACTCCAGCCTGGGTGACAGAGTGAGACTTCTACTCAAAAACAACAACAAAAAAGTAAGCAAAACTACTTTGCCCTTAAAATATGTCCCTTGTTTCAGAAAAATACTGGGGCAAGATGGACTATAGGCAAAATTTGATACAGTATTTTAATATCCACTTTGATTTTCTATTGTTGCATATTAACCACCCCAAAGCTTAGTGACTTAATAGACCAATCACTTAAGTATTTTCTCACAGTTTTGTGACTTGACTGGAATTCAGATGGACAGTTCCTTTACTGGTTTCACCTGAAACTTTTCATGCTGTTACAGTCACATGGTGGCTATGAACATGTGAGATGTTTCACTCATAAGCGTGGCTCCTTGGAAATATCTGGAATGCTAGGCTCAGCTGGGGTATCAAGTTAGCTGAATCTCTTTCTCTTACAGTTCTTGGAAAAATAAGAATACATGTCTTTCACTTGATTTTCAAACAAAGTAGTATAGAAACTCTAGGGGCAGAAAAATGTGTGATACCATTCCTCATAAGAGTCACAGCCAACATTCACCTCCCCCTTTTTATTTTTTGAGTTGGAGTCACTCTGTTGCACAGGCTGGAGTGCAGTGGCATGCTCACGGCCACCATAGCCTCGACCTGCTGGGTTCAGGTGAGCCTTCTACCTCAGCCTTCCAAGTAGCTAGAACCACAGGCACGTGCCACCATGCCCGGCTAATATGATTTATTGTAGAGATGAGATCTTGTCAAGTCACACAGGCAAGTCACCCAGGCTGGTCTTGAACCCCTGAACTCAGGCAATCCTCTCACCTCTGCCTCTTAAAGTGCTGGGATTATAGGTGTGAGCCACTGCACCCGGCAGACATTCCCACAACAAAAGACAGGTTAACAAGAAAAGCACAACTTTATTTAATCAAAGTTTTATGTGACACAAAAGTCTTCAGAAATAAAGACCAAAGACTTAGAGAAAACTTTCTGTCTTTATGCTTAGGTCTGAAGAACGGACAGTCAAGTAGAAAAGTGATTGGATAAAAAGGTATGATCTAACGGACTGAGGAGGGAAACCCACAAGGCCTCTCTGTTCATATTCTTTTTGACCTCTCTGTGTAGCACTGTCTCCTCCTGGGAATGGGGCAGGTCCTTCTAGAATGGGGTCTTTCAAGGGAGAAGGGAGATAGTTAACTTCATAAATTTTATAGCTTGCTCTAGGGGAGAACGATTCTAAATGTTATGCTCTGGCTTGGGAAAGAGAGTTCTGTTTCTATGACTTGCTTTGGAGAAGAAAGGAGAGCAAGAGCCCAGGAGGGGAGGAGAAGGTCAGAGAGATCTTGTTTCTGAGGCTTTCTAATGTCATTTAGTTGAAAGTACTCAGCACACCAAAGTGCTATCTTTGGAGTATAATTTTCTGAGCTTCAACAGTAGGGATTAAAGAAATATCCTCATTTTTAATCCAATTACCAAGAAATAGAGATTTCTTTAATCCAATTACCAAGAAATAGAGATTTTCTCTGAGATTGGGCTTATACACAAGATACAACTTGCTTTTTTGGTTTAAGAAGAAAGACTTTAACAAAATCTAGTTGTTGATAAATAAGGTTTTGTCTCTCAGAAAAAAAAAATGTATCTTGGTGATTAGACATAAAAACCCCAAGTCAAAAACATTCCAGGAGCAGTGTATTGATAATATATGTTTCAAGGATGGAAAACAAGTCACAAGGAAGAGGTGAACCACAGACTGTAAACACAATCTGTTGGGGTACAATTCTCCATGAATCTTCCATGTCTTTGGACATCTTTTGGGCAGAGACTTTAAGTCCTTTGTACTAGACTATTTTTTCAAAACTGTATAATGAACAGCATTAGAAAATAGAATTAGAGGCCGGGCATGGTGGCTCAAGCCTGTAATCCCAGCACTTTGAGAGGCTGAGGTGAAAGGATTGCCTGAGTCCAGGGGCTCGAGACCAGCCTGGGCAACATGGTGAGACCTCGTCTTTACAATTAAAAAAAAAAATTAGCCAGGTGAGGTGGCACATGCCTATAGTTCCAGCTGCTTGGAAGGTTGAGGTAGAACGATGACTTGAACCCAGCAGTTCAAGGCTGCAGTGGCCATGAGCATGCCCCTGCACTCCAGCCTGGGCGACAGAGTGAGACTCTGACTCAAAAACCAAAAGAAAATAGAATAAGTATCTCTCTCTGGAACAAAGGGTAGGTTCACTTACTATCCAGTATAATAAGTACAATATCTCTGCTGGACCAAAGGCAGGAATGCTTACTGCCCACTATAAAATGATTGGGGTTCTCTAAGCTCAGGGTTGATTTTTCTGAAATGCAACCCATTGTTTATGGAGACATCCAAATGCCAAATATGTTGCCTCTGTAAAACGTGAGGCAATGGCAACTGATGTGATTATTTTGATGACCATGCTACTTGTCATGCTGTAATAATTTATCTCTGACATAAAAGTCTTATGTATTTTGATAGTATCTTTGAATTAGACTAAATTATTAGCTTTCAAATAAGGTAAATTCAGTTCTTGACCTAGCATAGTTGGGAACTTGAGTCCCAAGCTCAAATGTAAGTGTATTAGCCGTCTAGAGTTTTCACTTTAGGGTACTTTCTTGTGGTTTTAAATAAAATTGATTATTCATCAAGAACTCAAGATCTGTGTCTCATATATAATTTCATTAGAGATTTACTTATGATAGTGTTGAATTGCTTGTTATCTGAATTAAACCATGAAGTTGAAAATAAAGGACAAGTTTTACACTGTACAACAAATGTCTTAAGAAAACTTGAATTATTTGATGTTTTGGTTATATTGTGTTTATATTGGTAAATAAAATAAATAATAATAAACAACTCAAGGGAAGAACTACAAGGGAAATTAACATAAGAAAATTCAGTGGACATAAATTATATGTCAATTATTACACATTTAATATAGGAAAATTCCATTTTATGTTTTCAGGGAAAGGAGAGAGTGATAGTAACAGTGAGAATAACAACAAAGATTGAAAATGAGGGGCAAAAGAGAGAGAGAGAGAGAGAGAGAGAGAGAGAGAGAGTTAATTTTCAAATAATGTAAACAATTCAGTTCAACTCCTAGAGATAAAATAATATGTGAAGTGTGAATCTGCTGTTATATTTGCTGGTTCCTGGTCAGTCACATATTCTATAAAGTTAGCGTCTATTTGTTTTGAGTGTGGTTCTGATGCTTAGAATATGTGTGGTTTTTACATAATATGGCTTATAAAAGCCAGCCAGCCATTTTATTCAGTGCTCAACTAAATAGGC